AACTAGGTATGAAGACCGATGATCGAATCTTGGGCAAGTAACATACCGACAGACAAAGGGAATTACGTATGTTGTCATAACGGTTTGACCGATAAAGATCTTCGTAGAATATGTAGGAGCCAATATGTACATCTAGGTTCCGCTATTGGTCATTTAGCGAAGACGTTTCTCGGTTATGTCTACATAGTTCTCGAACCAGTAGGGTCCGCACGCTTAACGTCCGTTGACGATATAGTGTTATATGAGTTATATGATTTGGTGACCGCATGTTGTTCGGAGTCCTGGATGACATCACGGACATGACAAGGGGTCTCGAAATGGTTGAGAGGTAAAGATTGATATATAAGACGATGGTATTCGGACACCCGAAGAGTTTCAGAGTGCATCAAGTAGTCATTGGGTCACCGGAAGGGGTTCCGGACACCCCCGATAAGTGTATGGGCCTAATGGGCCAAACGAGGGAACAAACCAGCCCACTAGGGGGTTGGTGTGCCCTTCTCATTGGCTGGTTGGCCCTAGGGGAAGGAAAGGGGAGGGGTGGCCCCTCCTGCCTTTCCCTTCTCGTGAGAGAAAGGGAAGGGGGGGCTCCTCCCCCTGCCTTCCTCCCGCACTAATATATGGAAGGGGGGCACGGCTTGGGGAAGTCGCCAAGTAGGATTCAGCCCTACTTGGGGCGCCCCTTGGCCTCTCTCTCTCTATGTATATATATGGGAGGGGGCGCCACACAGAACCACGACAATCTCTTAGCCGTGTGCGGCGCCCCCTCCACCGTTTACACCCTGGGTCATATTTTCGTAGTGTTTAGGCAAAGCCCTGCGGAGATAGCATCACCATCAGCGTCACCACGTCATCGTGCTGCCGGAACTCATCCACTACCTCGCCGTCTTGCTGGATCAAGAAGGCATGGACGTCACTGAGCTGAACATGTGCTGAACGCGGAGGTGTCGTACGTTCGGTACTCGGTCGGTTGGATCGCGAAGAAGTTCGACTACATCAACCGCGTTACTAAACGCTTCCGCTTACGGACTCCCCCCCTCGTTGCTATGCATCTCCATGGATAGATCTTGCGTGTGCGTAGATTTTTTTTGTTTTTCCATGCAATGTTTCCCAACATTGACATAGGGTGAAAATCCTCTAGTATATATAGGTTTAAGGGAAGGGAGAGGGCAACCATCAAAGGGGAAAGAGCCCCCCTTGGTGTGCCAGCCTTGGGGAGGAGTCCCATTCCCTCCCCAAGTAGGATTCGCCCCCCCCCCCACAAGGAAAGGGGGGGGGGGTTGCCACTTCCATATGGGCCTAAGTGGCCCATATTTCCTTCCACCTCTTGGCCTTTTAAGGCCCATTGATATTTTCCACCTATAAATAATTAATCAGTAATACCTGGTATTACTCGATATTCACCGAAACCCTTCCGGTGACCCTGGAACGCTTTCGGAACCTCTCGAAACTATTTTGGATATTAATGAAACAATTACACAAATATAGTGCCTTCACTCCTGTCCTACTAACACTCAACAAATCGTGATTACCTTAAGCTCATGACCCCATAGGTTCGGTAGATCATAGACATGAACGAAACCCCTTCGTTCAATGATCGATAGCGGAACCATGGACATCCATATCGGTCCCTATGATTACACGAATGATATTAGAGTGAACCTTTGGTTATCATGTGATGTTCCCTTTGCTTTGCGACACTTCACAAAACCCGGTGTGCATCAGCATCCTCTAGAGTCATCACCATGCTCACTATACCGTTGCTCCCGTTACCGGTTTTGTTCTTCTTTCTCGTTGACGTATTCTGGCATCGCCATGACATAGTCACCTGCGTTTGGCCAGACGATGATGGATGTTGTCACACTGTGAGGGCCCTAAGAATATCTCTCTATTGTCGGAGGAGCAAATCCCACTCTCGAGCTGTCCGGTCACTTATCAAACTTTCCGGTGAGCCTGAAAGTTATCGTTATGATCACCTTGTTACAGATGATGTTTGAGCAACCCCAAAGCCCACCGTCCGATAGGAAGTGACCGGTACACTCTCATGGTCCGAGGAACTAAAACACATGCCAACACTCCGTGTTATAACAGATGATTTCAGACGATATGATCACATAGTATAACACACAAGTATTGGGTCGATTCAATATGACGTCATGCACTCAATGTTGTTTTAGGACTATCGTTACACTTAATGATATCCAAAGATCTGGAAAACATGATCACCAACAACACTGGAGCCGGTCTTAGAGGTGAGACCAGGAACCTATTGTTTACCGTTTATCATTCCACACGTGCATATGAGTTTTCCACTTAATTGCATATTCCAAGATCATAGCAGTTATAACATGAAATATAAACTCTTAATTAGGAATAATGAAAATATAATAATACAATATTATTGCCTCTAAGGCATATTTCCAACAATTTTTGGTCTTGGCACTACGAGAAGAAGGGTGTTTTTACCGTCAAGTCAGCATACCGCTTACTATCATCTACTTCCTCCGTCCCAAAATAAGTGACTCAACTTTGTACTAAGGTAGTACAAAGTTGAGTCACTTATTTTGGGATGGAGGGAGTACTAAATAGCAATGCACAGATTGGCTTGAGCACAATTCGGGTCAGTCTAATTCAGCGGTTGATCGACGCTCTTGGGCGAAGCTGTGGAAGTCTCCAGTTCCAACAAAGATTAGAGTATTCGCTTGACGACTTGAAAAAACTTCTCTTCCCACCAATGAGATTTGCAAGGACAAGAACATGACAGACACCCCTGAATGCTCAATTTGTCATGCGGCCATGATACATGGCGTCATTCCCTATTTGATTGCTGCATGGCTAGATGCATGTGGGCCTTAGCGGACGAGGAGTTAACGGATGTGGTGATTTCAAACAAAACAGAGGATGCGAAGATCTGGGTTCTATGGCAAGTTGACACACTCCCACCGTGCGATATTACATGAGTCCTCATCACAATGTGAGAAATATGGTGGGCTCGACGACGTGCTATTCAGATCAGTACCAAAAGTCCAATGAGCACCCACTGTTTTATTGAGAATTTTTTCCGAGAGCTTGAGTTGGTTCCAACTCATCACACAACTGCCGCTAGGGACTTGCATGTAATGGCAAACCTGCATGTGAGGAATGAGGACCTACATGTGTCTGGTTCTGCAAGGAGCCCTAATACATGGTTGTGGCTTGTAGCTCACGAGGTGAAAATGAACGTTGACGACAACCTTTCCAGGAATGGCACCAGGGATGAGGCTACAGTGGTTTGTAGGGACCAGGGCGGTCTATATCTAGGAGTTCTTGCCGTCGTTTTTGAAGGACTCATGGACCCAACAAGCCTAGAAGCTCAGGCGTGCTAAGAGGCTCTATCTTCTTTAGCCACAGATCTGTATGTTGATTCAGAGTGCATCGCATGAGATTGCGTGAAGTGGTAACCAACATTGATTCCATAGTTCCATGCTCCTATGTTGCTATCATGCGAGAGATCGACCATCTTCGGCGTTCTTTCCGGGACATCAAGTTCATCCACGAGCGACGATAACACAATGGAGAGGCGCACTCCCTTGCCAAGTCTGCTTCCTCTCTCTCAACCAGGCGCCATGTGTGGCTTTCTGTTTTGCCCGATGTTATCTGTATCCCCATGACCATTAACATTTAATAAAGGGTGCAGTTGTAAAAGAAGTTAATGAGTGCCCCAACCGAGGGCACTTCTTTTCTAGCATGGGGAGCCCTCCATCGTTTCATGTTTCACGTGTTGGAACTGTTTTATTACACAAAAAACCGTGTTGGAACTATTCTTTTCCTCTTTTTTTTCCATTTTTTGTCGATTTTGAAGTTTTTCTTTCACCTTTTGGTTTTGTAGGTTTTCTTGGGTTTTTTGGTGTTTTCGTTTCTTCATGTGCTTCCATGTCGAGCATATGTGTACTCCACGCACAACACAAAGTGTGCTTCATCCCCGCGAAAAAACAAGTTAGTTCACTAGGGAGGCACGTGTGTACTCTTGTGGGGAGTATAATTGTGCTTCATCTATGTGGTACTAAATGTTCGTTCAGTTCAAAGCGGTACGGTTGAAAGCACATAATCATGGATTCAAAATATTTTCATGAACCCAAAAAATGTTAGCAAATTTCAGAAATTATTTCCAAATTTCCAAAAATATTCATCTATTAGGAAATGTTGCAAAAGTTAAAAAATGTTTGCCCATTAGAAAAATGTTCACGAATTCTAAATTTTGTCTCCGAAATTGAAAAAATGTGCAAGAATTTAAAAGTATTCAAAATTTAATAAAAATATTCTAAACTTTTGAAAATGTTTGTGAAATTCAAAAATTTTGAATTAAAAAATCGCTAATTTAAAAGTATTCCTAATTTTGAAACAAAATAATGATAAAATAAAGTAAAAGAAAAAGATAAATCTAAGTCTGGAAAATGAAAAAAGCAAGGAAAAACCAAAAAGAAAAAACACAAAAACCCAAGTCTGGAACCGAAAAAGGGAGCTAGTTGGGTTGGCCCAACTGTGCTTAGCACAGAGGGTGCGCGATACCTCGCTATTCCCTGACCTAGGCGCTAATTAAATAGGATCCCCAGTGTTCTATAGTAAAGAAAAACTTATCGCAGGCCAACAAGGCCTAATCCAGATCCAGTGACTCAGCGAGGAAAAAGAATATCCCACTCAAAAAAGGCGAGGAAAAAGAAACTCTATCAGTTTTCGTCAACGCCCACGGCCAGGGGAGCGTGACTCAGGGCAGGGTGGTCTGTCTCCCCCTCTAAAATCTCGTGCGAGCAGTCCAAATCCTCGTTTACCAGCTCCACTGCCCCCGGTGATCTCATTCCCATCCCTCCTCATCACATCGCCCGCGTGAGCGATTGTCGTTGATAAAAAAAATCCTCCCTCTCTACTTCCGAACTGGAGCTCCTCTCTCTCTCTGGCCGTGAGGAGCTCTAAACCCTAGCGGCAGCGGCAGGGGAGGCGCGCCGGGGAGCCAGATCGCCGCCGCGATGGAGAGCCCCGTGAAGGAGGAGGTCGGCGGGGAGCTGGCGATGGAGATCGAGTCGAGCGTCACGGCCGAGGACTGGCGCCGCGCGCTCTCCCGCGTCGTGCCCGCCGTCGCCGTCCTCCGCACCACCGCGCCGCGCGCCTTCGACACCGAGGTCGCCGGCGCCAGCTACGCCACCGGCTTCGTCGTCGACAAGGCCCGCGGCATCATCCTCACCAACCGCCACGTCGTCAAGCCCGGTGCGCGCCTCCCTCCCTCCACCCATCCGCCGATCCGATGCCTCCTCCTCCTCCTCGTGCAATATATTCATTCGTGTGTTGCTGTGTGCTCGTAGGTCCTGTGGTCTCGGAGGCGATGTTCGTGAACCGGGAGGAGATCCCTGTGTACCCCCTGTACAGAGACCCTGTTAGTGTTTGTTCCATTCCATTCCGGTTCTGTTCTGTTTTATCTTGTTTAACCCTGTGCCAATGGCGTATTGTTAATCCAACTTTCCCCTTCTTCTCAAAACAGGTACATGATTTTGGTTTTTTTCGCTATGATCCAGGTGCCATAAAGTTCCTCAAGTATGAGGAGATCCCTCTAGACCCTGAAGCAGCATCTGTTGGGCTAGAAATCCGAGTTGTCGGCAATGACAGCGGCGAAAAGGTTTCCTTATATGCTAGTTCATTCGCTCCCTGGTTGCTGCACAAGGAATTCAGTGTTGGAAGCATGTTTAGTTGCTTCTACCAAACCTTTTAGGCCTCCTTTGGTTTATAGGAATCTTGTAGGAATTTCATAGGATAGGATGTTTAAAGGAAAATTCCTATGGATCTCTTTGGTTTGTAGGAATGGATTCCTATTCCTATGTAGGATAGGAACCAATCCTTCACATTTTAAAGGGAAAAAAAAACATCAGCCTAGACTCAATGGAAAAATTCCTATCCTATGCTTCACATGATATTTTTTCCCTATAGGAATTGAGATGCATGTCATTTCATTCCTATGATTTTCCTATTCCTATGATATTCCTATCCTATAAACCAAAGGAGGCATATTTCTTCTTTGGCCATCCTGTAAAACAAAGCATTTTCACTTAAATAAATAAATAAATCATATGCACAGTTCCTTGAAACCACACTAGTAAAATGTCACATTATGCCATTTCAGCAAGATAATGATGTCTTAACTGTACGGAGTTCTAAGCATTTGTTTTGCGCTCTTCTCAAAAAATTAGGGGTGACACTACCTGAATCTCGATCTCCTTACTGCTATTAGCCATCATATTCCACAGAGCAAATGTGATGAAATGCTTGTGAGGGTTTTGCATGTTAGAAAAATAATGATACACACATGATCTTTCTACCTGTCTAACTCAGCAGAAATATTTAGGTTTCAGTTAGATGAATGGGAGAGGGCAGGCCTGGCGCAGTGGTGAAGTCCTCCCCACTTGTGCCAAGAGGTCCTGGGTTCGAATCAGCCTCTCTGCATTGCACTTTGCAGGGGTAAGACTAGGTTCCTATAATCCCTCCCCAGACCCCACCTTGTGTGGGAGCTTCTATGCACTGGGTCTGTCCTTTCAGTTAGATGAATGGGCTGCTTAATTAGGAGCTATTGAGCTCCAACCTTTCCATATTAAGACCATAAACTTAGTAGTAGTTGTAATGGTTAATATTCCTTGACCTGGTATGCACTTATTCAACTAGTTAATACATAAACAGTAGACATGTACTAAACAGCGCTAGTGACAACATTTGACATGATAGATGATAGCTAGAAAAGGAATTTGGAACAAATTGTTTACGTCAGCATTGAAACAAACTCCTATTAAGTTTGCAACTGAGATTGCAACATCTTTCTTGTACGGCATGCTGGAGTTGATGTGGATTCCCCTAGATATGGAGGTTCATCCTTAACAAGGATACATGTGAAAATAATAACTGATTAGCTGGATACATGTGCAAATAATAACTATGTGATGGCTTTTGGCTGTAATAGACTGTAGTGTTTGGTGTGTTTGTTGAACTATGGTGCTGTCAGGTTTTCGCCCCATGGCGTTCGTTTCGGTGTCGGGCGAACACAGTGGGTTTTCTGGCAGTGCTCGAACTCGCTGCACCTCTTTCCCTTTCCCCCCTGTCGTGTTCTCGGAACTTTGTATTTCCGTTCATTTGCAATGGAAAGGGGTCATGCCCGGTTTGAATAAATAAATAAATGTGCAAATAATAACTGATTAGCTGTGGAAAGTTGTTTAATTGTGTTGCATACTGTAAAATTTTCTGATTCATCTCCACTGGATTTAGGTTTCAATTTTGGCGGGAACACTTGCTCGACTTGATAGAGAAGCGCCTCACTACAAGAAGTACGCCTTACTTTTTTGCATGACAAGTTTATGATATGGGCTTATGATATTTTCTTTATGCTCCTAGCCGCCCCAAGCTTGTAGACAGTATATAAGATTGTTACACCATGTATCGTATATATTCTAACCTTTAATTCTTTGACAGGGACGGGTACAATGATTTCAACACATTCTATATGCAGGTGCTTCTCTTTAGCTACTAAATATGACATGTGTATATAGTTTGACCGAATTGCTGGATTCGTACATATGAAATGATCTTTTATTGCATTGTGCCATATAACTTGTTAATTGTCTTGTTGCTGATGTTCATAAGTTAACGTGATTGTTTTTTCTTTAGGCCGCATCTGGAACTAAAGGTGGCTCTAGTGGTTCCCCAGTTGTTGATTGCCAAGGAAGAGCTGTTGCGCTGAATGCTGGAAGCAAATCTTCCAGTGCTTCTGCTTTTTTCCTTCCATTAGAACGTGTAAGTATCATTAGTACATTACTACCTCCTCATACTATTTGAGATGTACCGGAATTGTGGGATAACGTATTGATCATAAGGAAATGAAACTGCTAGTTAAACCAGTGTTAGGCATTCATAAATTATCCATATGTAATTGAACTAACACATACTAAATTTAGTTGGCTTTACAGAAAATTTCATTTCAGCTAAACGTATAAGAGTGCACCAGTCTCCTTAATAATGTCTTGCTGTACGGTCTCATGTGACCTATGCATTTCTCCAAAAGAAGAACACAAAGCAAAAAAAATAAAAAATGCGAGTTTGGCATTGTCTAGTTACATATAATTATGAACATCATGCTATTTAAGATTGATTGTTCGTGGCACTCTTATTTTTTTAACATTGTTTGTGTAAACTATTTCCAGGTGGTTAGGGCACTGAATTTGATACGTGATTGTTGGGATGCATTTGGTATCAAGTCAGAATCTGTTTATATTCCTCGTGGTACACTGCAGGTGTGCATGCTGTTCGATGATACCATTTTTTAATTTTTAGATGTTGTCTAGGTGGAGAGCTGCTTATGAATTATGGTGAACAGTGAACTTTGTAGTCTTGTTAAATCTGTATGTATGTAACCTTGAAGAACTTGAACAGTGTAAAGAATAGTCTTCTGGTCTATCTGCTTATAGTTATAGTATATACTGGATAACATGAGTTTAAAATGGGCCCACAACATTCGCACGTATGCTAGTGCCGTACTGCAGTGTCAAGTAGCTCTGAATCATGTGCGCATAGCACATGGAAATTAAGTAATTCTTTCTTAGTGACCTATATTTTTTCAACCCTTACTTCTCTACAAATATTTCTATAGCTGAGAATGCAATGAATGCAAGTTTATGCAGCACTGGTGCATCTTACCTGTTATATTTGTACTCAGTATCTAAATTTGCTATGTTAACTGTTTACCATTGTTGTTCAACACCTAGAACTGAAGTTCACATAGTGTGTTGCAGAAGCACAGCACTGGAGTCTTGTATAGAGGATAATGGAAATATAGTGGGTACGACATGCTTGGTTATGAATAGGAAGTTGAACAACAAATGCTGAAATAGAAAAAAGAGCTTATGCTGTATTATGACCAATGCTGCTATTAAGTGTTCTGGGTTATGGATTCAAATTATAAGGGCATGTTGGTCTGGAAAAACTCACTTAGACTGGTCTCACCATTTTGGCCTATTATTTGATTTGCTGCCACACTTGTGGTGTGCTCATAAGCCACAATTTTTTAGCCTCACGCCCCACCTGTCATAGGCACTTTCTTTATGTGCAGAACTTCTACACTGGTGGTGGATGATTTGCTCACCACAAAAGCGTGGGGCACCACACTTACGGCATTGTGTAGCTAGCTTCAAACCAAACATGCTCTTTAGGTTTCTATGATATGCAACACATGGACTGTATGAAATCCTGTAATGCATCTGGACTGAAGTGCTGCTACACTGGATGGTAGTGTATAATGTTCGGTGATTCCACAACTGTACAAATTACGGAGCACTGCATAAGCCACTGTGTAGCAGTGTTGGTATTATGGCTCACTGCCTCACTATTAAAAGTACTGCTTTAAACCATGACAATTAGCAAAATCTTTTTATTAGCTGTATTTTTTATCATCGATCACTGTTGCTTTACTCTCCCCTAGAGTCTAGATCTCACATTATCCCTATTCTGTTTTTTGTCCTTAAAGATGACCTTTCAACACAAAGGATTCGAAGAAACTCGACGTCTTGGACTGAGGAATGAAACAGAGCAGGTATTTACACTGTTCATGGTTTGCTAATTGTCTAGAAAATATCCGCCTGCCCCCGATCAAATTTATTGCTGGAATCAAGTTCAATTTGTTTGTATTTTATGAACATAAGTTTATGTATACCTGCTACTAGTTATGCCAGATGTGAATATTAGTTGTTCTACTTCTACTTGTTTATATTGGTAAACATCTACATTTTTCTTTCCATTGGAATATATTTTTGAATGTTAACTCTCAAGTCCTGTGATTAAGTACCGGAACTTGTCATTTTTATTTGTACAGATGGTACGCCTTGTTTCTCCAGCAGGCGAAACTGGAATGCTGGTTGTTGACTCTGTGGTAATTTGCATTTATTAGTTCTAACTTCTAAACATGCATTCTACATTGTTACTTGGCTTGCTGCTTCTTGTATTATGCCTTTCTATGTCTTGCTGAAACTGGAGAGCTCTGTCCTTGCAGGTGCCAGAAGGACCTGCACATAAACATTTGGAACCTGGTGATGTGCTAGTTCACATCAATGGGGAGGTAATCATCGCTTTAAAGTGGCTTGCTATATTTGTTAGCGTACTCTATAGCCTGATAACTTCAGAGACAGCAGTAGCAAATTAGCAGAACATTGGTATCCACTGTTCTCTATTCCTATTCACCTAATACTGAGAACTGAAGATACTATGTGACATGATGAATTTGTGATGACATTTTCTTTTTTCCAATAGTACCAAAACACAAACAACTCTAGGCTGTGAACCGTCGGTTCAAAAGGATATAACATTGTCCGTGAACAGTAATCTAACAATCGTCAGTTATCTATACTATGCCAGTAATTAACTGCTATGTCATTTCATGTATGTTACAATCTTGCTGTTTGTTACTCCCTTCATATCACAAATACATGTCGTTTTGGGTGTCTTCAGTCAAACTTTGAAAACCTTGTCTATAAATACTGTTTCAAATGTTTAGATTGAGAGCTTACCAATGATATACATAGATTTGTCTCAAAAGGTATATTCATAAGAGAGGTCGGGTAGACCAAACTTGGGAGGAGTCCGTTAAGAGAGATCTAAAGGACTGGAATATCACCAAAGAACTAGCCATGGACAGGGGTGTGTGGAAGGTAGCTACCGACGTTCCAGAACCATGCGTTGGTTTCGAAATCTTATGGGTTTCAGCTCTAGCCTACGCCAACTTGTTTGGGACTAAAGGCTTTGTTGTTGTTGTCGTTGTTGTCGTCGTCAAGGAGTATGGTCTAATAATGTAACAGATCTGCAAATTCTAGGAGAAGTTCGATAGTGTATCTTGATCCAGAACGTTTTAAGCAAGTTTCCCAGTTTCTTTATAGTAGCCAACCTCAAGGAAATCACATTTCTCCTTTCCATTTTCCCTGTCCTGATATCATGTGGCATTGTTGGTTGTACTACTACATCTTATCCTTTCCTTTTTTGACTCATTTTTTCTCCAATCATGTTACTTTACTAAACTAATTGCAGTTTCATACCTCATAGGTTTCTGACTCAAGCATATTCTCACCAAGCATTTTTACTGAACTAATTGCAGGTTGTAACCCAGTTTCTCGCAATGGAGACTTTACTTGATGACAGCGTTGGCAAGGAGGTAAATTTGCAGATTGAAAGAGGTGGAGTGCCTTTGACAGTAAAGTTAGAGGTAATTTATAATTTTGACGCATCTTATTTAATCTTTTCAGCAGAGAAGAACTTGCATATATTAATGTTTACTTCCTTTCACACCTATAGCTGTTGCAACTATCTTTTTTATAATAAAATTAGCAAGCCATATTTATGCCACTGTAACTCTTCAGGTTGAAGATTTGCACTCTATAACTCCAAATCATTTCTTGGAAGTCAGTGGTGCTGTCATCCATCCACTTTCATACCAGCAGGTAAGTTTCCCTCGTTTCTTTCCAAGTTGATGCTCTCCTTACTCTTTCAAGGAACGAGTACACATTTACTTTTGTGGTATGCTGCTTCAAAGAATAGTTGAATGCAAATAAAAATTTAAGAGAGTACGTGAAATCTATTCTAGGGCTGTCAACAAGCCGACCTTGAGTGAGCCAAGGTTGGTTCAGCTCAAGCTATATACAGCATTCAAGTTTGAGTTGAGCTTGAGCAAGTCTGAGTTAGTCTTTGAACTTGCATCCTTACTCAACTAGGCTTGGGACCGGCTCGACCAAGCTTGGTAATATAATGCCCTGCTTGATAAAAAGGCCAGCAACAAAACTGAGATTCAGAAACAAACTGCATGTATGACCTAATGAATAACCAAACAGGAAAGTTGTGTTCTCAAATGCTCAACACGCTATTATTGGCAACAGATCCAAAACCATGTGAAAAAGCTCACATTCCCAGAATATTGCCGGAAGAGGAGGTTGGCTGTGGATGTAGCAGTGAATTCAAGGCACCTGCCGACGCTTGGAGACGTATTCCATGGTGGATGGTGGAAGGCGTTCGAAGTAGTGGGAGGAGGCAGTGGCTGGATGAGTTGGGCGGCGGCGGTAGGATTTCTGTCGCGGTGGATGAATATGACATTTGGAGTTTAGCTAGGGTTGCGAGATTGGAGTTCTGTCTGCTGTTGGGATGGGCATCTATGGGCTGTTAGGCTCTTGTGCTGGGTCAAATTAACGTTAACACATAGGCTTTGGACTATTAGAACAAGCGAGGACTAGTGTTATCATTGAAGTTGTTTTTTTTTGGGGGGGGGGGTGTGTGGTGGTGGTGGTGGCAGAGTATATACGAGCTGTTCTTGATAATAGCCTGAGCTCAGGCCAGGCCTGAATTGAGCTTCCACGAGCCGTGCTCGAGTAGCATGAGCTCAGGCCAGGCCTGATCTGTCTAATTTATTGACCGGCTGCATTTTGGTTTCTGAAGTGTTGAGCTTTCTGCCCTATTACATTTGTAAACCACAATTAATCCCTTACTCCCTCCGTCCGGTGAAAAGTGTACATATAGAAATTTTAGGACAAATTATGGAGTGGAGTAAAAAATTCATTGGAAAGGTGCAAGCCACCATCTCTCTCCTCTTTAATTAGCCAATCCCCAATGAGCTAAGTGCATGTAGAAATTAAGGAGAACATGTGTAGAATGTTATTGGTCTTGATTACTGCGTGATAAGAGAGAGCCACTTTTTTCTACTTTAAAGTGCATTGGGAAGATAGAAGTACACTCTTTTGTGGACAAAATTTACACCAAATGTACACTCTTCACCAGATGGAGGGAGTAAGTCAAATGTCGAATGGACACATGTTGAACTTTTCTGCTAGAAATGTTAATCTCACCACTGTGACCACATGTGTTCGGTAAACGAAATTGGACTGATGATAACATCATGTATTCATCCTATTCAAACCTGTATTAAACTACATGAACGTATGCTGTCGCAGTATATGTTTAAGTTTCACACTGGTACTAATGTTGTTCATATCGCGTTTCAGGCTAGAAACTTCCGGTTCAAATGTGGTCTTGTATATGTTGCTGAAGCAGGGTAAGACAACTAACCATAATTGTTGATGACTTGATGTTACATTTCCTGAAAGAACTATCGACGTATATTGGTGATTCTAGTCTAGCCAGTCCTTTATCATTCTTAGTCATTGGGCACATCACTTTGGAATAGACTAGTAGAATTGCCTTGTATTTGAATTCCAACCGGGTGCCATTTTGCCAACTAAATCTGAATATCACAATGTTCCTAAAGAGTGTAAGCTGCAACGTATGTTTATTTGCTTCTCTTGTCTCCAGAGTCATTTTACTTGAAGATTATACTTGTCCAATTGTCCCATGTTCAAGTCTCCAGAGTCACTTTACTTCAAGTTTGAGTGGTTTTCACCATGTGTTTCTTAGTTCAAAGCAATCATCATTTTCAGCGACTTATTCAACACCATGCAATGTAGGTACATGCTCTCTCGGGCATCGGTTCCACGCCATTCAATTATCAAAAAGTTTGCGGGAGAGGATATTGAAAATTTAGATGACCTTATTGCAGTTATTTCAAAGCTGTCTAGGGGAGCACGAGTGCCTCTTGAATATGTAAAGTACACTGACCGTTATCGGAACAAGGTAGACAAATATTACTTAGGCCTTGGCAGCTTTATCATGACAAACCTTCCATAGTAAATGTTGATTTTTTAAATACAACTAAGCCCGCACCTTATTTATGTGTTCAGTCTGTACTGGTGACAATTGATCAACATGGTTGGTATGCGCCTCCTCAGTTATACACTCGAAATGACGCAACTGGTCTTTGGAATGCAAAATTGGCTATACCACTCGAATCTCCCTTTGTAGTTTCCCATCGTGCTGGCCATATGGATGCAAACTCAAATTCTGTTTCACCGTTGACTGAATCAAGTCCTATGGATCTCAAATGCCAGCACGAGTCTGAAAATACGGCAGATGGATGCGTAAAAATGCAAACAGATGAGGAGATTGCCATAGATGGATCCCACTCTGGCGAAGATTCCATCCTTGAGAAAAAAAGGCGCCGGGTGGATGAGGAGATAGCTGCTGAGGGAACTATATCATCTTTTGGAGATTTAGATGACATGAAAGATGGCGCATTGAGGCATCCTTCCAGTGTGGAAGGCTCCGACCTTGCTCGGACAATATCAAGTAATGCTTCATTGGCAGAACAAGTAATTGAGCCAGCTCTTGTAATGTTTGAGGTGAGTGCTATACTCAAATCTAAAATTTGAGGAGCTATCAAGGTTATTGCTTATTTCGTTGTTTTAGTTTACTTGAATATTTGATGACGATAATTTTTGAGAGAAACTGAGGTATATTCAGTTGTTTATTATCGTTTTTGAAGGTTACTTATGGCTTTATCCTCTGTACCACCCCTACTCTCTCTCTCTCTCTCTCTCCCTCTCTCTCTCTGATACAACTGTGTCAATATTCAGAACAAGTGGCATCATTTTTCTTAGAAATTCTACAAATGATCTTAATATATTGATGATAGTGAACCAATGACGCCTATACCTGTATGACAAATCTGTATCTTGTACTCCCTCCGTTCAGAATTACTTGTCGCACGTATGGATGTATCTAGATGTATTTTAGTTCTAGATACATCCATTTCAGCGACGAGTAATTTGGAACGGAGGGAGTATGACCTATAGTCCTGTGACTCCTGTCCTGTTTTCGTTTCCTCATTGATTATTTTTTAGTAATTTTTGTTCTCTCATTTACTTGCATATCTACTGTTTTGCTCTTTACTCTTGGACTGGTGAATGAACTATTGCCATGTGTTTTACATTATATCGTAACCAGCAGTTGTTGGTTTCAGCAGTTTTGTGATTTGTTCTTATTCAAAACCTGACTCACCTTAACCTCTACTATTTTATAGGTGCATGTGCCACCAATATGCATGCTTGATGGAGTGCATTCTCAACATTTCTTTGGAACCGGTGTGATAATATATCATTCTGACTGTCTAGGTCTGGTTGCCGTCGATAGGAATACAGTTGCTGTATCTATCTCTGATATAATGCTCTCTTTTGCTGCATATCCCATTGAAATACCTGCAGAGGTATGAGCTCAGTACCCATTTTGTTGACTAAATCCATGTCATATTGAATTTCGATTAAATAGTAGCTTCCAAATTTTGGGTTTCAGGTTGTTTTTCTGCATCCTGTTCATAATTTTGCACTGGTTGCCTATGATCCTTCTGCACTGGGAGCTGGAGCATCTGTTATTCGGGCTGCTAAGCTTCTTCCTGGTTTGTTCCATTTTAGTGTCCCTTCTATTTATTTCCTAAAAGTATATTGTTTGGTCAAAGAAAGAGACTAGATTGCACAAGTATCAAGTAATATGGTCAGTGACTTAACAACCTTTTTGTACCGGTTTGTTTTTTGCCATTTTGGATGTATATGTAGAGCCTGCCTTGCGCCGAGGAGATTCTGTCTACCTAGTTGGGCTAAGTAGAAGCTTACAAGCTACATCAAGGAAATCAACCATAACCAATCCTTGCACAGCTGTTAATATTGGCTCAGCTGACTGCCCACGATATCGTGCAATAAATATGGAGGTCATTGAGCTTGATACTGGTACTTCCTATGCACATTTCAACTAACCTTTGTCGATCTCATGTCTCATATTGTTTGTAATTATACTGAAAACTGTTTGATTATAGATTTCGGCAGCTCATTTTCGGGTATATTGACGGATGAGCAAGGAAGAGTTCAAGCGTTATGGGCAAGCTTTTCCACCCAGGTTAGTTTGCGTTGGGTGTTGTTAACCTTGGTCTGTTTTTGTAAGTAACGACGCTCCCATGTTCTCAGGAGCATTTCATGAAAAGATCAAAAGAAAAAAGAAAAGCACAAAACGGCAGCTTACGCCCAAGGTTAGCCGCTTGATATCTCCAACATCAAGTAAATGGGCAATGAAATAAAAATACATATTCAGTATGTAAAGATCCTAACTTGCATTTAAGAATCTAAATGTTCTATTAAGTAAAGCAGCCAATTTACTTGGCCTTTTGCCTGACATCATGAATCATAACCTGTAGTCCTAATGCTTGTAAATGATCATGTAATGGTACTATCCCTAGTTGTTACCTCTCATGTACTTGATGGTGTAATTAACGACCTAATTTTTCTCTCCAGCTCAAATATGGTTGTAGCAGTTCAGAGGACCATCAATTCGTTAGAGGTATACCAATATATGCAATAAGTCAAGTCCTTGAGAAGATAATCTCGGGTACTCCTGGACCATTTCGTCTTATCAATGGAATTCGAAGGCCGATGCCACTTGTCAGACTTCTGGAGGTGGAACTTTATCCAACTTTGCTTTCGAAAGCAAGAAGTTATGGATTGAGCGATAACTGGGTGCAGGTAATTAGCTTAATGTTTCACTTAATTTCGCCAAAAAATGTTTTCCTGACCTGGCAAACGTGATTATATTGTTTTTATGTTGCTTCTGGGCCTGAATATTGTGTGCGTATATCAATGAGTCATTTATTGTTCTATTTGATTATCTTTGTAGGCTCTCGCTAAGAAGGACCCTGTGCGCAGACAAGTCTTGCGGGTCAAAGGTTGTTTGGCTGGATCAAAAGCGGAAAAGCTTCTGGAACAAGGAGACATGATTCTAGCTATCAACAAGGAACCAATAACATGCTTTCTTGACATTGAGAATGCTTGCCAAAAGTTGGACCAATCTATCGATTCAGATGGCCTGCTTAACATGACAATATTTCGTCAGGTGAGGAAGATCTACTAACCCTTTTTTTGTACAGTTACAATATGAGTCTAAAATATCTATATCTATATATATCATTATTACAACTGTTTCATGCAGGGAAAAGAAATTGACCTTATTGTTGGAACCGATGTAAGAGATGGTAATGGTTCAACAAGGATGGTGAATTGGTGTGGATCCATAATTCAGGATCCTCATTCAGCAGTGCGTGCACTTGGCTTTTTGCCCGAGGAAGGTCATGGAGTTTATGTTGCTAGGTGAGGAACATGTTTTTTTCTTTACAAATATTTATGCGCAAATATTAGAACCAACTCTGATGAGTTTTGACTGCAGTATTTAGTTAAAAGTTATAATAAGCCTGTAGCAGCCACTATAGGTTTAAACTTTGAAGTGATCAGATTCGAGTGAGTAGCAATAATTTGCTCAAGGGAGTGCTATTTTTCGGTTGTTTTGGTGTACTAACACATTTAGAGGCCACCCTTGGTTCGCCAGAGTGGGACTCAAAACCGGAATATTTTAGGGAGCCCAGAAACGCGCTTGGTTTGCTGTTTCAGTATTTTTTCTCCCCCGGTTTGGGTCCATTACACCCGAAAAACATTACAGAGCATGGGAGGCCGCATTTTCTTTCCGTTGGTGAGAACCGGGAGTGAGAGAGAGAGAGGCGCCCCGATCCCGAGTTCCCTCGCCCACCCCCCTTGTGTGCTTCTCCGCCATCCATGGCATTGACCTAGGGTTTCAGCCGTGCAAGGTTAGTCGTTGTTGCCTGTTGATATTTCAGTCCAGCCAGGCATGGAAGGGACTGGAATTACACCTGTACGCAATCTTTCCAAACAGTGGCCGGAAGGGGAATGGAAATACGGCTGTGTTCCGCCGGCACATCACTTGTGACATGTATATTACAGGCGTAAAGATTTGCCGGTGTAAATTTATTCCATGCTCCCAAGCGGGCCCGTAGGAGTTTTGACTTCAGTATTTTTTTGGAGTTATAAGCCTGTAGCAGCCACTATAGGTTCTTGGGCCTCTTTGATTCAAAGGATTCTCATAGGTAGAATCCTTAGAATTTTTTCTATGTTGGTCGTTTGATTCATAAGATTGAACTTTATAGGATTTTTTTCCTAAGGATTCCTATGCACTCCCTCTGATCCATATTAATTGACGCTGCTCTAGTACAAGTTTAGTATAAAATTGTACTACAGCAGCGCCAGTTAATATGGATCGGAGGGAGTACTATATTTCGAATTCATAGGAATTTTAGCATCCACTCAAACCTCTTGGTAAGAATCCTTTGTGTTTTTCCTGTGATGCTATCAAACAAACCAAAATCCTCTAGGATTCAAACGGTCATGACATTACAATGGCTCCTTTGATGCAAAGAATTTTCAGGGCCCTCTCATAGGTAGAATCCTTGCAATTTTTTCCTACGTTGGTTGTTTTTCATAAGGATTCCTATGTACTACATTTCTCATAGGAATTTTGGAGGATTAGAATCCATAGGAATTTTTCCTATGTTGGTTGTTTGATTCATCCTAAGGATTTCTTTGTACTTCCCGTAGGATTTCAAGCATCCACTCAAACCTCTTTGAAACAATCCTTTGTTTTTCCTACGATGCAATGAAACAAACCAAAATCCTGTAGGATTGAGATGAGCATGACATTCCAATCCTATATTTTTCCCATTCCTGTGTTTTTGAACCTGCGAGTCAAAGAGATTTGAGTCACTAGCAATAATTTGCTCAAGGAAGTGCTATTTTTCAGTTGTTTTGGTGTGCTAACACATTTAGGAGTTTTGACTTAAATATTTAGTTGCAGTTATAAACCTGTAGCAGCCACTATAGGTTTTTAAGTGATCAGTTTGAATAGACTAGCAATGATTTGCTCAAGGGAGTGCTATTTTTCACTTAACACAGTTTTCAAGTAGTTGTGCTTCTGGCTGTATACGACTTCACATGGAATCGGAGACCTGACGGGTCAATGAATACAAGAATGTGACCCATAGGAACTGTAATTCTGTTAGGCAAATATGTAAACCAAGTAATGGATTTCCTGAAAATAAGAAGAGAAAATAGTGATCAATGGATGCCTTTTTCCTCTTGTGGCATGCTCCGAAGTTCATCTACATCAATGTAAATAGACACTGGTTTCTCCCGATATCAGCATATCTTGCGAAATCGCATCCTGTAATGGATGTCTTATCTGCATATTTTGTGATACTGCCTGGGTGGTGTTACCTCTAAATGCTAGGCATAGTTGAAGCCCACACTTGGTATGATTCCATTTTGTCCTCCTTTCGATGCGATTGGCAAGGCAGGGTACCTATAGTATAATATAAATAATTTGCACATGATTATATAGATGTTAGGCATGCAGTTTATAAGCACATTGTTGGGTTTAGGATTGAGCAGCAAGTTTGTTATGCAGATGGTGCCATGGAAGTCCCGTACATAGATATGGCCTTTATGCTCTCCAGTGGATAGTTGAAGTTAACGGGCAACCAACTCCAGATTTGGAGTCCTTTATTCAAGTGGTGAAGGTACGCATTGGCAATAGCAGTCTTCTTTTGGTATATTTCAGTCTATAATTTGTATTGATGGTGAACATGGTTCACATGTCATTTGATTCGAGTTAATATGGCCGGAATAATATTTTTCTCAGGGATTGGAAGATCGTGAGTTCGTCAGGGTGAAGACCGTCCATTTGAACGGAAAACCACGCGTGCTCACTCTGAAACAGGACCTCCACTACTGGCCAACCTGGGAGCTCACTTTTGAACCGGAGACTGACACATGGAAGAGGAGAACAATAAAGGCGTTGCAGCCAACCGGGGCTTGATTTATTCTGCTTTCTTGTGATATTTTCAGCGGGCCTAGGCCTTCTCTAGGAAGGCAAGCATGGAGAGGCGAGGAACTCTGAAATGCTTGTCATGCCGGTGAGCTAGAATCAGGGTGGGGCACTAGGATGTAGTGTAATTCATAGATGACATAAGGATTTTAATGCCTGTGGATAATTGGACTGCGGGGTGTGTCTTTTCTGTACCTATTGGATATATTTTTTTATTCTCCTGTAGAAGCAATAAACCATTTAGCGATTTAGCTCTCGTCTCAACTGGAGTATTTTTCTGCAGAGCACTTCGTTTGCAGTTTTTGGATGTAGTGGTGCTGATGCTCGGTCATTGAGTTTTTGGACCAAGCTATTCTGTATGTGAAGCTTTCCTTTGAGATTTGGACCTCATGTCACCGATGTCGTGTTGGTTACAGTGCATGGACACCTTAGATGCGTAGCACGATATTCCTCGAAGCGTTGAGCATAGCCAAACCAAAGCCGCTATCCGTCTTAAGAAAGTAGGAATCCCTTCCCACCTGCGTAAATTCAGGCAAATCAACACGCAAGTAGGCAGAAGATAGCAGCCGAAGCATCGAAACGACCTCATAGTCATCGTGTCCCTTTTGTGCGACGTGTTGACAAATGTAAACCATGCGCCCATCATCATATATCTATCTATCTAAGCCCAGACGTACGTTCTACTAATTTCCTCTCCTCTGGAGCGCATATCTCCCGAGGAATATATTCCGCCACCACTACTACCAGCCGGCTCTGGGTCTAACAATTATCCGCGAAAACGAGGGCCGTCCCTTTAGATGCGTCCTGTTCCGTGCCACTCCGGTGGATGCCTTCCGCCGAGAGGAAAAGAAGCGCTTAGGTAGGCGCTCCTTGTTGCCGGATTCCTTCTTTCCTCCGAGAGCTAGCACGGTAGCACCAACCGAACAATTATCCAAGGGCGCCTCTTCTTTAAATGGTTCGCCGGTTCTATTTCGTTGCCGCGAACAGAAGGAGAGCTAGCATGTATCCCGCGCTCAGACCCGCGCCGCGACGGGCACACGCGAGCCAGCAGCAGCAAGGCCAGCACCGTGCGAGATAGGGAGGGTGGGAAGGAAGGAGATGGGTTGCTATCCCCTGCGCGTGATCGTCTCCAAAGCGCTTGGGAAATGCAACGGTACGATGCGTCCCCTTGTATTCTTTTCTTCTGGTTTTTCTCCGACGATTGATGATAGATAGTCCTAGGCCTTTGAGAGCTCACGCTTGGTTACTTTCGAAGCATTCTCAGGCGGGGGGCAGCTTTGACCTTCTGCGTCGTTCTTTTTGGCAGACTATCGTTATGCACTAGTGCTAGAGACCTCTTGTCTTTCTCAAGATAGGTTTCCGTCGCTACAATTCAGTTCTACTTCTGCTACTAGTTTATTTCTTTGCGTAAGTTTCTGTACCATAGCTCATACCGGTCCTAGTAGTAGTATTCATTATTGTTTAACTCATGTCACGTGATCATATACTGTGTAGTCTCAGAACTCCAACGTTTGTCACACAAAGCTGCTAACTGATGTTTGTGAGCTCCGGTGACATATGCAGGGCGCGAACGATGGATGGAAGACCAGAGGATGGACTACGCCATGGCCTACCCTCCCGGCCCACACCCAGAGACGCTCTACATGCGGCCCGTGGCGCGCACCGTCACCTTCAGCGGCACCAACTCCGTGCACATGATCCCGCCAAACCCCCCGCCACCGCAGCAGCAGCAGCAGCAGCAGCACCCAGAGCCCCAAGCGCCATCGCCCCAACAGCAAGCGCCACCACCCCAGCACGTGCCCCAGCCACAACCCGAGCAGCCTGCGCCCGCGCCGGAGCAAGGCCCGCCGCCGGCCGATCAGCAGCCGAGGCAGCCGAAGCGAGGCAAGAAGAAGCCGCCGCGCCGCGTCCGGTTCGGCCCCGAGCCACCGCCACCGCAGCAGCAGCAGCAGCAAGAACACCAGGAGCAACAGCAGCAACAGGAACAGCAGCCGGAGCACGCGCCGAACGGCAACCCGGGCAGCGGCGCGCCGGGACACCACGGCCAGCAGGGCCGCGGGCCGCCGGGGTACCTGAGGTACACGCCGTCGCCGCTGCCGAGGTGGGAGGCGACGCCGAGGCGGCACGAGTACTTCTCCGGGGAGTACCGGTACAGCTACCCGACGCCGGTGCGCGAGGGCATCTACAGCATGGCCACCGACGCCAACCGGCTCACCACCATCTTCAGCGAGGAGAACCCCAACGCCTGCGCCATCGTCTGACTCTCACTCTGAGTGCTTGAAGTCGGCCGGCCGGCGGGCCGGCGAGGAATGAGGTTCTCGCGTCGTACTCCCATAATCCCATTAGCTCTCGCACTGCCTGATTGGAGGGAGGAGAATCCGGTTCTCTTCTAGTAGGGGTTGTACAGGCAAAAGAAAGGGGGAATAGTTGGGTGGCACGACACGATGAGGTGAACATTCGCGTTGTTTGGATTCGGTTCGTACGATATACTTTCACGATGCTCTTTTTCGCGTCTTCTCTTGCAAAGCTAAAAAGAGATTAGTCAATGATTGTTGGCCACCAAAGACAGATTAAGCATAATGTGTCTTAAGAGGTGTATGTGATCGGAATGCATTGAACAGCGACTGTCTCCTTTCGCTGTCCTTCGGTCTAAAATTTATATGATCAGACCATTGCAGAAAATAGATCCAGAGAATATAAGAGTGTTTTTGACATTAGTGCACTCTAAACCGTTCGATTAGCTCATTCATCGTTGTGGATCGCCCCGTCGTTTCACTGCGCGTGCCCGTAGCCTTTTCACCACTCCGCCTCAAACTTTCTTGGCCGGCCCAACACTAAACGGGCTGCTGCTCCGAAGAACGACCTGGAGGCCCTCTAATTCTGTGATGTGGCGTAGCCTTCGATCGTGAATAGACGGTTGATGTCTGTGCGGGGCAGGGAAGCACGCAAGGGCCGCATGCCTCTCGAGGCGATGGATGGCAGTAGCTCAACATCGACCCCCGACGGCAGGAAGCAAGCAGAGGCTCATGGTTTTGTGGTAGCTTGCTTTGATGCTAGGGTGCTCGCTGTTGGGGAAGAAAAAGCGGTGAAGAAGAGATGGTGTGCGGATGCCGTTGGAACCCTCTTGCTATTAGAGCATCTCCAGCCGTTCGGCGCCCCGCGAGGCTGAAATAGCTCCTCCTGGGGCTACCCGGCGCTATTTTCGTCCTGGGGCGCTTGGGTTCCCAACCGCCGCCCCAAGTTGGCCCCAGACGCCATTTTTTGAAATACAAATTCAGCAATTTCAAAGAAAATGACACGATTTTGAACAAAATTCAGGCGATTTTCATTCATATTTGTGCAAATTTAAAGACATAATTAAAAACTTAAAAAACTATGCCGCCGCCGCCGCCCCTAGCCTCTGTACATGCCAAGGAGCTTGTAGAAGGCGGTGTAGTCACCGCCGTCGCCGTCGTCCTGCACGCCTCCGTCCTTGCTGCAGTCCTGTCCCGGGTCACCGCTGCGGACGGGGTTGGTCGGCGCCGGCGCCTCCTCGTCGCTGTCGTCGAGGACGATGACACCGCCCTTGTCTCGGCCGCGGCGCCGAGCGGCGATCTCCTCCATGGCGCGGCGCTGGCGCTCCATCTCCTCCCGCACGTAGTCATCCCACGCCCATTTCAGGCCGGTTTCGAGGTCGGCGGCCATGTCGACGTGCTCCTGCTTGACGACCACGGGCGGCGTCGCCGGCTCCTTCTTCGGCCTGACAGGCGAAGATGGCCGCGGGGAGGAGGTGAAGGTTGGCGGCGGCGCTCGTTTATGATGAGGCTGCGGCCGCGGCTGCGCCGGTGCTCCGATGTCTCCTGGGTCTCGGCGTTGACGACGGCGAGCGGCGTCGTTGTGCTGAAGGGGTGGGAGCCGGTGGAAGAGGAGGACGCCCCCGCCATGTGCCTCGGCAGCCACGAGCTGCCGCTCCGGCACGAGAAATACGACGCCGGGTACTCCAACGGCGGCGAGTTGCCGCCCTCGATGTGCTCGAGGGCGGCGTGGAGCATGCGCCCAGGGACGCCCACCACTGACGGCGGGCGTCGGAGTTGTGGCGCCCTCTTGGTGGCAGAGCTCCATTCGTGGACGCGAGCTAGTCGGCGTGGCGGCGCTGGAAGAACGCCATCCACAGAGCGTGGTTGTCGGGGGCGTACTTCGGCTGCTGCCGTGCTTCCTCCGACAGCGTCGCCCGGATCCGCACGATCTCATCGCGGCATTTAGCGTCGGAGGACGGCGGGGGCATGGGGACGCCTCCGGCGCTGAGCCTCCACGATCCCGGCACGCGCATGTCGGGCGGCGCCGGGTAGTTGGCCTCGTAGAGGAGGTGCGCCTCCCACTCGTGAAGATGGCGGCGGCCGAAGCCGTTGGCCGCCGCTCCGTCGCCGGGGAAGCGCTCAGCCATCTGTGAAGGAGGAGAGAGGGCAAACAAGGGCGCCGAGGGAAAGAAGGTGGTCGGTGGTGAGAGAGAGATGGCTCTGGAGGCGAGTGTGCGGCCAGCGGCGACGAAGGGCGAATTTTATAGCGGTGAGGGGGCGGCAGCAGTGTGGACGCATGGCGGGAAGAGGCGGGACGCACGGCGGCTCGCCTTCACTATGCCGCCTGTGATCGATGGAAGGCTGATCGGCGGCAGCCTTGGTATTGATTCGCGCGGTAGCCGAGGCGATGAGATGAGGACGATGATGCAGTCACTGACTCGGCGGGCCCACAGGGTGGAAAATCGATGCGAGAAGTTTTGGCGCGTTTTTTCTTTCCCCCGACGCCCCCGATCGCCCCCAGCGCGCTGGGTTCGGCCTGGGTCCGCTGGCGATAATTTTGGTCCTAACCGACGAAATTTGGGCTCCTATGAACGCGACTGAGCCTTTTTT